GGGCACTAACTATACAGCTGACAGATTGTGACAGCCACTATATCTCCAAGAATGGAATAAGCAGGAATGACTGTCTGAATAATTAATGTGCTTTTACTCTGCCGATGGCCAGTTTTTACATCCTGCACTTTATGACTGTGGTTTTGAAATTAATTAGAAAATGTAATTCCATACCAAATCAAAACTTTAAGTAAAAATTCTACAAACAAAAGTGTAAAACAGTAAGACAACTCATGACCTCTGTTTAATGTCTTATATTTTTAGAGGTCACTCCTATCAAGATGAAAATTAATACCTAGTTCTGAACATTATTTCTATAAAACAACATTACTTCTGTAAAACGATATTATTTCTGTAAAACATTACATCATTACTTCTGTAAAGTAAAATACACACACACACACACACACACACACACACACACACACACACATAAATTTAAAGAAAAAGAGAACTCATCCAGGATATTCAGCTCAAGTAAATACACTATTTTCAACATGGTTTTCAGTTTCAAACCTGAGATTCATCCCTGATTTCAACTTCTCTCTCAGCACTCAGTGTAATCAGCCAATAAGATCTATCAATTTTGCTTTGTAAATATTATCAAATATGCTGCTATCCCTTAATCCCCACTGTTATTCACTTAACGTGGATCATCATGGTATCAACTGAGTTACTGCAGACATCTTCAGATAATCAAAATACCTGTAGTCATGTAGTCACCCACACAACTTCCAGAATTGCCTAATACAGAAATTCATGCTCAAGGCCTGTTGTACACTTATAGACACATAAAAAGAGAAACTAAAAGCATGCTATAAAGATAAGATAGTAGAATGTGTGAACTAAAGAAAAGAGGCATTAAATCAAACTTTGTGTAATATTATGGCGATACATATTCTGGAGAAGAATAAAGCAGATGGGGGCAGAGCATACTCTCAGTTTCAATATTAAGTAGCATATGTTGGGAAGGCTGTCGTGAGGGGGATGTTTGCAGTTTAGGAAATAAGCCACATGAATAACTGGGAAACTAATTGGAAGAGAAACCAAGAAGGCTAGAGATCTTAGATGGAGCAGCCTGGTGTACTCTTCACCGGCAAAGAAGCCAGGGCAGATAGAGGTCAGAGGAGGCTGAAGATGGAAGGCTTATAGTGAAAACAGTCAGGTGGGTGTATGGTATCCAGACAGGAGGGACCTCTGATGTGGATCAGGGTAGTAACCTAGGAGATACTCAGGAGAAGTCAGAAGATGCTGATAAATATGCAACATGTCAGAAAGGGAATGTAAGCATTACTTCAAGGATTTGTGCCTAGAACTCTGGTGAGAATGGTGTTACTAAATAGGCTTTTTTTTGGGAAAAATTTGATTTGAGGTTTCCTTAAATATATTTAAAGAGATCATTTACTGGGCTGGGAGTGTAGCTCAGTGGTAGAACCTAGGATGTCTGAGTCCCTAGCTTCAAGTCCCAGCACCTCAAAAAAAAAAAAAAAAGGTGAGTCATTTACAATGGAAAATACCCCTTCTACAGCACATCATTATTAAAGTTCAAAACAAAATGGCACTTTATTTTATAAACATTTACATTGTGCTTAAGGTATGTCTACCTCTACTGTATGGCAGTATATTTTATGCACTCCATGTTACACACAAGGAAAGTGAAGCCCAGAGGAAGCACAACAAATTCATATACTGAGTCTATCTTCAAAGTGTGAGCTTCCTCTTTCTCCACCCTCACTTCGTATTTTATTATCAAAGTAGAATCTAGAGTTTCTCAGTGTTGAGGGTACAGGAAGAGGTAGACTAGTGAGAGAAATGAAGGAATTTCTAGGGTGATTTATATGTTCTATACCTTGATTTTGGTGACACGTAACTTTATCTGCTTGTTAAAGCAGAATGGTACATTTTAAAGAATGAGCTCATTCTATTGGAAATACACACTAATAAACCAGACTTTAAATAATACAATCTAGCAAATACTATTAATTGATACAAGCTGGAAATATGCCACACACACACACACTCACACACACACACACACACACACACAAAAAAAAAATGCCTACACATACATCCCAAATGAAGAGTACTACATAAGAGTTCTACATTTTCTCATAGTTCATGTATTAATCTAATACTTGGGGTTTTTTCCCTAATTAAAGCAATACTTTCTGCATCATCTTCCAACAGTATTTTATGATGAAGTAATATATTTTATTTGTTGCCATACAATTTTTCATGTGTAATTACAGCCAATTTTCCACAGTGGGAAGAGAGAGGGTTTCCCCCAGTGAATTTGTTCCTTCCCTACAGGAAATCTCAAACAATACTTCAATAGATTTTTCATGAAGTTTAGTAAAAAGTTGTAAATTACTAGATAAACCATGACTTTAAATACTGATAAAAAAGAGATTTTAATTTTATATTCCAGGTATAAAGTTATTATAAATTCTGATATTCACATTGCTGTGTACTATCATTACCATGTACACTCCAAAACCAAATATTCTTAGGATATAAGAGATAAATACCAAAAAGAAGTGTAAAAAAATACTTCCAATGTCCCTTAACTGAAGAAAGAATGAATAAAATGTGTTGTATAAAGGAATATTATTCTCCCATGAAAAGAAAGATAGTCATGAGCATCCTACAATAGGGTTAAACTTGAAAATATGCTAAGTGAAAGGACAGATATAAGAGCTCTCACATGTGATTTCATTTATAAGGCAATTCCACAAAGAGAGAAACCATGTTACTGGTTGCCAAGAGAGGAACTGAGGGATGAATGTGTATAAACTGTCAAAAGATACAAAGTTTCCTTTTAGAATGCTTAAAATGGTATGTAATGTGATAGCTGACTGATTTATGAATATAACAAATACTAATATATTTTAAAAGAGTGAATTTATTATATATGAATAATATCTTAACTAAAGAATAAGGAAACATACACTGCCAACCATTCAACATTGTAAAATCCCTGATTCCTTCAAATACTTCAGATTTGGAGGCTGTCATAGTCATTACAGTAAATATTGTCTTAATTCCTTCTTATATTTTTTAATGAAAATAAATATGAGGAAAATTCTGAAATATGATTTCCATTATCGTTCTGAAACATTATTTCCATTATTCTTGAGTATGCTAGGAACAGTCAAGTTAAAAAAATCATTTTTTTTATGGCAGACATAGTATCCATGAGTTGTTCTAAATCTTCTCCCAGTTCATCTTGCTACATTTTCTCACCACATCGGTACTCTTCCAGTAACACTGAAAATAGTTGTCCTTCTAGTGGCCATTCCTTGCTCCTTCACAAATCAGTCTGCGAGCTGGGAATGCCTCGCCTTCACTCCAGTGAACTTCACAGCTTCTATGATGGTTTCAAGACCCACCAAGAAAACTGAACTGCTTCCACCTTTCTCTTCTAAGAGTTTGTCAATAACTCATTGAAAATATGTACAAGAGTATCTAAAGCTTCATCTTTACCTTTAGCTTTTAATGTCTCCTGAGGAAGTGCATTTAAGTCTTGTTTGGATTAATTTTTATTTATTTATTTATTTAGCAAAAAGAAATGGTTGAATGGACCTGTTTTTTTTGTTAACTGAATTAATTTATTTCACGGACATTAAGTACCAAATAAACCATTTCATTTTCAGTTTAGAAGAACAATGTCTGCAAAATTTAGATGCAAATGTAATAAGCCAATAAATACAAATGAAAGATTCAATCATATCTATTCTAAAAAATGAAAATAATACATGGGAAATTAATGCAGTGATGGAGAAATCAAGGCAAAAATATTTAAAGGATGAAATATCAGTCCAAAAATTTCACCACCTACAAAGGCAAGTGCACTGTTTTCATAGTGCTAACTCACTCAGCACTTTTAAGGCTACAAGAAAATAGAGAATCTATGAAAACAGATTGATAGTAGTTTTAATATATACCAATTATATCAGTAATCCAAAATTGAATGAACAGAAATTACTGTAATATTAACAATGAAAAAGTTGATATTTCTAACTTTCAGATATATATTAATAACAACTCATATTTTAGACATTTACAAAGTTCTTTACAGAATTTAATTTCAGTAACTTCAAGTCCAAAGGAAATTCCAATATTAATGTTGATTGCTTAATATAAAGGTTCTTTCTGCCTTCTATGATTTGCTGGGAAAAATATAAATATATGCGCTGACCTAAGGTTATACTCTGAAATTGTTCAGGTTGTACTCTGTAAATGTTTGTTTGTTTGCTTGGTTTGATTTGATTTGGTTTGATTTGGTTTTGATACAAGGAATTGAACCCAAAGACTTTACCATCAAGCTACATTCCCAGCCCTTTTTTTAAATTTTTATTTTGAGATGGGCTCTCACCAAGTTGCTGAAGCTCACCTGGAACTTGTGATTCTCCTGTCTGAGCTTCTCAAGTCACTAGGATTACCTTAAATAAATTTGTGATAAACGTAATCATCACTTTTGAGAATAACTTGCTTTATATTAAACATCTTGCTGCTATCAAATGAATGTATTTTATCTCCTAATACTCATTCACAATTAAAGGAAAATGAGAGCAAATCAAATGAATTAAAAATGACATTCATATGTTGTCCATGTACCAACTGAAAAACAAATCAGCATCTTTATTTCTCATTAGTTAAATAAGTAACACATCATACGCACCTTTTCAACAGAGCAAATATATCTATTCATTTTTTAGCCCATTTGTTTTTCAGATAGCTAAAGCATATTTCCTCAAAATAAAGGATGCTTAACTCTATTAGTTGTAATTTTTTCAGAAAATATCGATTTATTTTCCTAGTCTATATTAATAAATGTCAATTTATTTCCCCAAAATACACAAAATTCCATTTTAACATGTGCTGCATTTTTTATATGACAAAAACTCATAAAAGCATTATGCTAACTTGAATATAAATACAGTAAACATAGTTTTTAAATTACTAATAAATATGACTGGAAACAATAATCTATCAATTACCTTAGTTTGTTCTTCAATTACTAAAAATCCATGTTTTTTCCTCCAACTTAACAAATTAAACATTCCTGTAAAAAAAGAAAGAAAAGATTCAATTAAACACCTGGAAAAATATTTTATTTTTTTGGTTATATAGAACTGTTTGAGTAATTCCTGCTACTTGACAAGTCTATTTTTTATTCACAACGCTTAGTGTTTCATAGCAACAGACTATGATAATAAGAGGCAATTCAGGATACATCTGAAACATGTTCACTGGACATGTGAATGAATCTGGTAGGTACAACATTTAAATATTTTCCTAATTAAAAGAACATACAAGTTTTAAAACAAATTCTAAGATTTCCAAGAACTAGCCTAGTTTCTTAACAAGAAGCACTAAAATGTTGATATATATCTTATCACTTGTACCTTTAGAAAACTGCTGTGGAAAATAATTGAGAAACACCTTAATATATTTTAGTACATAATCATATGTGCCCCCAAACATGAATGCAACATTCTCCATACACTTAAATATTCATACAGACTATGAATATAAAAATCAAGATAGATTCAAAGTTTTTTAAAAAAAATTAGAAAAATACACAAAACAAATTTACTTCAATCTTTGATATTTAGGATTTTATTTGTCTTCATTTTCTTTAAGATATCATGATTTTTTCCATTTATTGTGTTATTAAATTAAAATTTAATATGCCAGATTCTTTTCCAAAAAAAAAAAGAGTATTTTCCTACAAAGCATCTTCCTTACATTTTAATGTTCACTAGTAATAAGACAATGGTCACACTAAATTTTAAAATTTCTAGTGAATCTATTTAAGAGCTTTAAACAGTCATCCATTTCATTATTTATTCTGATATTTAAATGTATTACAGTATTTTCATAGTAGCACTTTGCTCTTAGTAGAAATTCAAGGAGCTACACATATGTCAAAACAGTGACAAAAGCCATCATCTATTCAAGCATTGTGTCACCAAATGGATAAGAAATTAGAGATAGAGCAAAAAGTCAATAGGATAAAATTAAAATTGAGTTCTTAGTAAAATCACTTTATTTGAAATTAGGAATACTATAACCTAATATAAAAACAAATTTGTTGAAATTATTTGCTAATGAAAGTATTTTATTTTGTTTGCAGATTTAAAAATATTAAACAATGGAACCCACTGTATTTTTTCTAGTGAGTGTCTACTCATATTTGGCCAATTAGTAAGGTTTTATACCAAAACTGTAACCAAAACCCACAGTGAATGGCATATTTGGTTACGTGGACAGGCAACTAAAAGCAATTTTAAAACCAACTGCTTGGATTTAATTTTTAACACCCACTCTCTCAAAAAATGAAGAATGTTTTTTCAAGAACTACTGACTATCTACATGGGTTACACATACACCCCCTTAGTTTTTGAAGAATGGTCATATCCCATTTTGAAAATGTTTTACATATCCTGAACAAGCATGGGTACTAACAGCACAGGCTTACCTACAAATATCATCAGTCTTTAGGGCTTTTTCCTCCCATGCAGGAAATACTTTCTGACATCCAAGCAGGACCAATACTTCCCAAGTGCTCTTTGGCACACCACACCCACGTCACCACAGGTAGATCTATGCATGTCTTCTAATGCTCCCATACCTCTTTGTTTTGTTCTTTATTTTTGCTGAACTGTACACTGTTTTAAGAACTGCTAAAGAAAAGGAACTCTGCCTTCTTCTGTATCACCTCTCCCGACAGGCACATAATAAGGGCCTCAAAAATGCTTACAAAATAAACAAAATAGTTGCATATTTTATAAATATTTTTTAAAAAAATGTTTCTTGGAAACTGTAATACAGTAATACAAAATCAAAACTGTAGCATTATATATGTCTTTAGTTTTCACAGCTATCTCTATAGGTTTCTTTCTTTGTCTTTTTATACATAAGAACAGAGATTCTTTAATTTACAATATGGTTTTCAACGTTGCATGACTTCACTCCATTATAGCCACTTTGGGCACTTAAGAGTGGGCATACATCTCAGACCAAGGACAAGCTTACATAGAGCCACTTAGCCCCCTGATGAGACTGGCAGGTATGAGGCCCAGCAGAGGAAAGGAAAGATGAAGGGAATGGAAAAAAAAAAAAACTAAGAAAAGATAATAGCATCTTAACAGATGATACTGTTCTATCAGTATAAAGTAATAGGGCTAAATTTTGCCTATACTTCATAACTTGAACTAAAAGAGATTTTTAAAAACTAAGTATTATAAATGTTTGATTTGCATTTCTCTAAATGCTAGAGATGTTGAACATTTTTTCATATATTTCTTGATTGGTTATATATTATCGTCTGAGAAGTGTCTGTTCATTTCCTATATTGATTGGGTATTTGGATGTTTTTGGTGTTAAGATTTTTGAGTTCTTTATATGTCCTGGAGATTAGTGCTCTACCTGATGTGCATCTGGTAAAAATTTGCTCCTATTCTGTGGGCTCTCTCTTCACTTCACTGATCATTTCTTTTGCTGAGAAGAAGCTTTTCAGTTTGCATCCATCCCATTTATTGACTCATGATTTTATTACTTGTGCTATAGGAGTCTTGTTAAGGAAGTTGTGGCCTAATCCAACATGATAAGAAACTAAGATTTCATCTCACTCCAGTCAGAATGGCAGCTATTAAGAATACATATAATAATAAGTGTTGGCGAGAATGTGGGGAGAAAAGCACACTCATACATTGCTGGTGGGACTGCAAATTGGTGCAAATAATCTGGAAAGTTGTATGGAGATACCTTGGAAAAGCTGGAATGGGACCACCATTTGACCCAGCTATCTCACACCTCGGTTTATACCCAAAGGACTTAAAAACAGCATACTATAGTAATACAGTCACATCAATGTTTATAGCAGCTCAATTCACAATAGCTAAATTGTGGAACCAACCAAGATGCCCTTCAATAGACAAATGGATAAAGAAACTGTGATATATTTACACAATGGAATATTACTCAGCATTAAAAGAGAATAAAATCATGGCATTTGTAGGTAAATGAATGGAGTTGGAGAATATCATGCTCAGTGAAGTAACCAATCCCAAAAACACAAAGGCCAAATGTTTTCTCTGATATGTGGATGCTCATCCATAATGAGTGTCTGGGGAGGTAGTATGAGAGGAATGGAGGAACTTTAGATAGGGCAAAGGAGAGGAAGGGGAAGGGAAGGGGTATCGGGGTAGGAAAGATGGTGGAAAGAGATGGACATCATTATCCTAAGTATATGTATTAAGACATGAATGGTGTGACTCTACTTTGTGTACAACAAGAAACATGAAAAATTGTGATTTATATGTCTACTATGAATTGAAATGGATTCTGCTGTCATGTATATCAAATATTTTTTTTTTAAAAAAAAGCAATAACAAAAAATAAATAAATGAATAAATAAATAAATATGTTTGAGCATGTGACTAGAGGGAAAGCACTTAAGGAGGACCTAAAAATTTGGTGTGTTTTAGTTAATGTATTCAAAAATCTATATATTCTTTAATTTATATTTATACATAGTTCAAAAGCAACATAAAAGCAATGTACTAGAAATTATTGCTATTCACTAGAGGGCTTGTGAAATGGGTCTAAGTACTAAATTGCTTTAATTAAAATTTAAAAGTTAGATTATCCTATGCTTTGCATCAAACTTTATAAAGCAATCACACATTAAAAGAAATCAAAAGTGTAAAATAAAATATAAATAAGGTTCAATTCACCAATTTAAATAAGAAATGATAAGCATGAATGTCCAAGGAAAATTTTACAATTCTACGATAGCAAATTCTAAAAGTAGAAAAATCTTACTAAGAAAATATTTAATCTGCCAGGCACTACTCTAAGTGGTATGGATTTAAGAGTAAAGAAATAAAAACAGCACTCACGGAACTTGCAAGTACATTTCCATTGGAGAGCAGACAGAGGGAGAAAGGGAAACGAGAGAGACAATATGCATCTGAATACACATATAAACATTTTGCATATTTTGAATTATATGCAATATGTGATGTAGATAGATTTTTCATTTATGTACTAAATTCTTAACATGCAGCACATATTGTTTTAAATTATTTATTTTTGTTTTCACTTAACATATTTTTAAAAAATCTTTTGAGGTTTGTATGGATATTATTATCATCTGTACATGTAAATATACTAAGGCACTGAGTGGCCAAGACAGATTTGACTGTAAGAAGTTCAAAATCAGTGTTTATACTCTCAAGCCTCTCCAATAGTATACTGATTTTTACTACTCATGGTTTCAAGGGATATATATATAATCTAATAGAAAATTAGCTTCCTTAAATCAATGTTTTAGAAAACATTCACCTCAGAATTTTATAATGTTAATCACTGTTAGAGGATACCATCACCTTCTGATACTTAAATAAGGTTTCAGGAAAACCCAATAAAAATTAGTCTGGAAATAAGAAAATAAAATTCATTTTTCTCTTATTTCAAGTGGTATTAAATACAGAAGTATGTAGCACTGAAAGCAGAGAATCTCTGCTTCTGCAGGCAGGTTGGATCTGTTTATACTGCAAGCCTCTGCCGCCAAGAAATGTGCTGCAGCTCTTAATGGTTGGCTGTGCCCTCCAGTGTTGCAGCAGACAGCAGACACTCACCACCAATTTCTTCTTTCTGAGCACTTGTCTCATGAATTTGAAGAATGAAATCCACAGACAAAGAGGAGTGAGTGCAATAGAGTAGGATTTATTCATGTGGGAAGAAAAGGGAGCTCTCACAAAACAAGAGCAGACTCCATAGGGGTTGCCACTTGAGTGTGTTAGTCTAGGGGTCCATATAGCACATGGGTCAATTCTACTGGTCCAAATTTATGTTTATCTGGATCTGGAAAAATAATAATGCTATTAGTCCAAAATTATGCTAATGGATGTTTGGAAAAGTATTAAGGCTATTGGTCAACCCTTCAGTTGGAACTTGCCTTTATGTCTGCCCCACTTCTATTTCCTCCCAAGGGCCTGCAATCCCAGCATCCCAGGAGGTTAAAGTCAGCAGATAGTGGATGTTTGGGGGTTC